TTAAGGCTGTGCAACTGTAAAATTCATGAAGCTTTTTATCAATTTATTGCATTAAATTTAAATCCAAACCAAAATAATGAAATTTATTTGTTAGACTTTAGATAAGATGCACAATTCTGATTTGTGAATCAATAAGAATAATTAAAAATCTATATCTCTGTTATAAATTTCCATCTCTGTTTGAAAATGAAACATTGTTATTTAACACATTACACTGAGGGCTAATTGAATTGCTTGACCAAATTAAAAAAATATAACACAGATGACAGAGTTTGCACAGTTGTTGCTAATGTATACGTATTTCACCAAAACAAACTTCATTTTTTCTGCCTTTTATTATGGGTAATAGGGGTTGTGACAGCAAGGGAGTACTATGAAGGGTGTATGTGAATGCCACTGCTGGTAGTAAGTTCTTTATTTTTATAAAATTGTAATTTACTATTCTATAACATCCCTATCTACTTTACTACTTACTGGCAGAAAGAATGAGCCGTGTAACAACTACGACAATGTTCCTCTTAATAAAGATTTTCTAAACTTATTGCCATGTATTAATGGAGAAATGAAATTATTAGAATAAAAATGGGAAATTCACAATGGCTGTCTTGTTTTCCCATAACACTAAGAATTTTATTATAACTTCAGGAGAACACTAAAAATGAGAAAGTTCAACCCACTTTTTTTTTAGGGTGGGCCTGATCGTACATAAAAAAATATTGCATAAATACCAGGTGTTTCAACAGGATTTAGGATAAACAATATTTTTTTGTAATATAAACTATTTTTTTATGTAATTGTTTTTTACTTTTCCCAACACAGATTTAAAGGTTATATAAACCAATAAATTTCCCTTTTAGGATAAAATAAGAAAAATATTGCTATTTTTATTCAATGGATAAAAATTGGTAAAAACGAACAGACGCTTCTAGTTAAGTACGGGCAAATATATTTTTGATGAAATAAAAAAAATAAAATTCTTGGAGAATTTTTCCCCTATTGTCAATGAAAACATTGTGAACTTCTCAGGATTTATCAACTATTTATTAATATACCAATCATTTTAATAAATTTATTCTGTAAAAATTAAGATCATTATATTTTCATATTTGTTCTATAGCAAAAAAAAACAACAACCACGAATTCATATCAAAGTCTTATATCTCTATTGTAATTTTTTCAGACTTTTTTTTTTGTTCTATTTCAGACCTTTATCATGTCCAATGCCATCTTGTAATTTATTACTTTGCCCGTCAGCATTACTTATTCATTTGCAGCAGTGTCACAGAGATTTGCCCAGTTCAGAATTAGAGTTATCAGGAAATATTTCAACTTTTGACATATACGGAAGACTATGTCAACTTCAAGCTCTAGAAGCAACTCCAGTTCACCTCTTTAAAGTAAATGATGGAATGTAAGAAATTAATTACATCATTACAAATGCATTATATTAATGCAAGAAATTAATTACAATATTACAGCAATATTTGTAACATTGATAGTTAAAAAAACTTGATAACCAGAATAATCAGGAGGGTAGAGATAAGAAAATGTGTATTATAAATACACTTATTAAGGATGAACACAAATGTATCTCTTGAGGTACAAATTAATAAAAAATATGGGGTGGTGCACAACCACCATCATACATTGTTGAATATTAATCATAATGGTAGTAATACCTACTCTTCTATTTTCATTTATTCATTTAAGACAATTAATTAGAATATAACATTCCCAAGTGTTTCATCTGTTAACTTTATGCACTTTTTATCTTTCTTCATAAACATTATATACGTTATTTATTTCTGTTTGACATTAACATTTAAATCTTTTAAGTAATATTATAGGGTACATAAGAAATAACAACACAATGATATGCAAGAATCAACTAATGGCCTGTGCAAGCGCTAAACTTGGTTAAAAATAACTCATATATAAATACAAACCTCCATACTCTACTTCCCAACCATTCCTGAAAACACTAATTACAATTTTGAACTGGTTGTCAACCAGAATCTACTAATGAAATTTCCTGACTTTTACCGATTTTCCAGAGATTATTTTTTTGAACATTTCAGGTCATCACAATAATTGTAAAAGGAGATGGCTGATCTTTAATAATAATCATATTATAACACATAACACACGTATATAAGTCTTCGGTATAACTATAAAAAACAATATCGTTTTAGAAATTAAATATTCACTATTGATAGTTTTCTCTTTCTCAAGATAGTAGATGAATTGAATTACATGCACGTCCCAAAATACGGATACCAAAATCTTAGCAGCCGACTTTTGAGTTTTAGTCGCTTTAGATGACTTTCACCGGCTGCTGTCCACTCAGCTGACGATCTTTATGATTCAGGCGTGTAGTGGTGGATCTATATTTCATCCATTATCACATACCGACACAAGAAATCCTTTTTATTTCGCATGATCAGCTCCAAACAGTGCCCTGAATCGTCGACACGTTGTTCTTTCTGGTATGGTGTTAGCCAACACGACACCCACTACGAAAGCAACTAGCCCAAATTTTCATGTAGCATTGTAAAGACACTACCCATCAGATATCTTTAAAGTGTCAGCTATCTCACGCAACTTCATTTTATGGTCTTTTAAAACTATTTTGTGGGCCTTTTTTCTGTTTTCCGGAACTGCTGATTTTGGGCGACCAGAGCGTTCAGCATTATCGGTGCTTGTATGACAGATTTAAATTCAGTATACCAGTCAATAATAGTTGATTTCCCTGGTGCACAGTCTCCATAATGCTTATCAAGGCACTGTTTGGATTCAAAAGTATTTTTCTCCATAAAAAAAACAAAGTTTAATCAACACACAAAGTTCCAATCTATCCTTTGTCTTGAAAATTATTAATTAATATTAAACTCTAAAACAGGAATCACTAAAACAACAGTAACCTCTAAACTAACGGTCAGAATGTCATGAAATTGGAGGTTAGTACTACCCGGGAGTCACATGGGTCTGTCAACAATTTGCCATCTATGTCAGACCGGAGACTCATTGAGTGATGTGTTTATATTGGCACAATAATTAAACCTTCAAAATAATTAAGGCTAATCAAAGACATATAATTGTCTCATGAGATATAAATTTTCAAGGTACTAAACAAAAATTAAAAACAACTACTCTATGGGATACAAACAAAAATATTGGAGCAACCTCTTAGATACTTAATAAAAATCATATTCATATATAATACTGAAAAAATAAAATTATTGTTTATCACAAAAAAGCATACAACATAATATGTTCGAAACGCCATAGACATGCTTGTTAATATAGCACTAAAAACTTATTATGACCAATAATGATTCTAAATAATAACAGAAAAGTCTTGATTATTCAGCAACACAGATAAGTGCTCTGGCTCCTCTTTCTATCTTTTAAAATTTTTATACTTCCGGGTGTTTTTCATGAAATTCTTGGACTAATGCTTAAAATGCACATTTTTGAGTAAAGTTTAATGAAAAAATACACAAAAATATGTTTACCTTAAAACAATAAAGCAGAATTTAAGTATAATTTTGAACATTAGCTGAATAACTGTAATAAAGATATTTGACAGGTGAAACATAATAGGTACCCTGAATTCCCAGTGTTACTACACATGTGCTGGTTAAGTGAAAAGGAAATGCCGGCATTAACTTCCGAACGATGGTTAGCAGCATGGATTTCCAGTCTATACATTATACCAATGTGGTTTCGTCTACAGTTTGTAGCCTACTCACCTACACAAACTGCTATTGCATATGTTTGTAAGTTTTTGTGATAAAAAATAAGTAAACTGAAAACAAAATTATTTCATCTTTTAACATTTTTTTTTTTTCTCTTTAAAATAGGTAAGGCAGTGGAAACAAAAACTTTAATGTCACCAAACGAAATAGCAGAGAGTATAAATGTAATGCTTGTGCAAGAAAAATCACTGGCACGTCTATATTCCAACGAACTATCACTTTATGTTGAAGTTAATGCATACAGCAGTAAGCGAACAAGTGAATTCTGAGACCATCATAACTGTTAAATAGAAAGAAAATATACAGAAAAATGTATTAATAATTGAAATAAAAGATTTTAGCCAAAAAATGTTTTCTACTCCATAGCACCAAATAATTCTAGTTATCACTAGAATTAATGAGTTTTAAAGTGTGATGCTCAGTTCTTTTTTTCATATTGCATTATAATGCAAAGAGGTGTTTTTGTGATCATTGTAGTGAATAATGACAGGATGAATGGTGCATGAATCTAAAGCCTAATGGTAAACCTTTGCCTTCTTGGATAGTGAAAGTATAATTTTGATTCAAAGTCAATTGATATAGCAGCTATATTGAAAGGCAGGATTTCCATTCAACTTTTAAAATTTAATGCACACGATTTGACATTGCAAGAAAGGGATATTAATTTATCTAGTTTTTTTAACTAGCGTTAAATTCACTAATAGACCTTGAACAACCTATCGTTTCTCTTGGATCGATTGAAACCCACTGACTGTACTGTCTCATATTAAGAATTAAGCTATTTTAACCCCAGCAATTTCACTACAACTTGTTTAAATGGTAATATGTGTAAAACTAATTTATTTAGCTAGTACTTAACCATAAATTATAGAAAGGCTTCATAATTGAAATAAAATTACATATCTATTTGATCAATTATTTCTACCATTTTGAGAATAATGAATGCATTACAAAATTTCAAGTTTTAAAGTGAAAACAAACAATAATAATATTTTAATAATAATTTCATAAATTCGAATATGCTGGATGTCACAATATGATTAAACTGACAGAATGGCTTGATAAAGTGATTGAATATCAAACAATAACTTTACATCTATACCTAGTAAAAAATTTAAAAAAAGAAATGAAAATTGGTATCAAAATTTAGGAATATATACACCACTAAGTATATATCGTTTGTTGGCAAATGAAACAGTTAATAAGTGTTGAATTATATCTTGGTAAAACATATGAACTAACCTCATTAGTTCTTTAATATCTTCTTCATGGCCAAACGAAAACACTAGATCAGCCTCATCAATAACGAGAACTTTGAGAGAAGGATCAAGACAAAAATTTCCAGCTTTTAAATGAAGCACAGCCCTCCCTGGTGTAGAAACAACTATTTCAGGATGATCCTTCAGCACAGCACGCTGGGTTCCAACTTCAACCTGAAAATAGCAATTAAAAAGTCATTTTATTTTTAATTTCTAACCATTATTTTTTTAAAGGATAATCATAAAAGCTTAAATAAAAATATTTTGTTTTGTTTTTTAAGGTCAAAAAACTAAAAATGGTGTTATTTAAAATTAATAAAATATTTATCTATGGCAGAATGGATCCGCCAAAGACAGGACTGCCTGCCCTTCTGCAAATATACTACAACCTACTGGAGAAGGAGGAGAGATATTTTATGCAATTCTTCTTCAATATATCCTATTTGATAATTGGAAATATTTTAACTGTCTGATTTTTACCGAATATGATTTATGCTTAAGAGTGTTGTAATATCTGTAATATAGTATAAAAAGGAATGAATTTGTATTTCCATAAGGATAATAATGTTTGTTATTTTGTGAAAGACTCCATTTGTATAGGGTTCTTCCCTTAGAACAAAGAAAGATTGTATTGAATTGGATATATAGATATCCATCGTTTGCTGATATTAACTGTCACTCCCCACTCTTAGCTTTGAATTCATATTTCTGTTTAGTAGTGTAATAAGAATATTGAATAGCAAAAGGTTTTCCTTGGAAGAAAAATTCCATATATACTGCCGACTGGAGAGGGAAGAGTCCAATAGTAGCAAGAATTTGATCTAACAATATAAAAAAATTCGAAGTCTAATCGAGACAGTATACTGAATGTGGTGAATCTGTTAAATCCAAAAACTACGATCTAGATACAACGAAATCGATTCTTCTCAATATTCCGCCAAGAGAGATAAGTCAGATCTTACTCGAAAAGACTAACAAATATTTAAAATCAATCCATGATACATTTGATGAACCTGTAACTAATAATTTGTGAGGATGGATACAGATATTATACTCACAACACAATACTGTTTAAAAAAAAAATAGTTTTGAAGCTCTGGCAGCTTCTATAGTTGTGAAGCTACCAGTATTCTCTTTCAGATAACCAAGAAATGGAATTAAGTTTAGCCGACAGTTATCATGACGTTCACATATTCAATACGATGAAACGCAATTTTATAAGAAGTTGATGTTCGAACGGACTCTACATACATGTTCTAATGTAAGTTTATCAATAGACAGAATTATCATTAAGAAGTCCATTACTTTATTAAAACAAATATCTCCATAGAAGTACGATTACAAATAGTAAATAGTATTAGCAAAAAACAACGTCCATTTTGCTTAAATTTTCTTTATTATCTTTGTTCAATTTAAATATAACAATCAGAGTTGTTATTGATAGTCACCAGGTGGGGTGGATGGATATAGGGATCGTTGTCGTTTATAACGACAAAGGTCATTATAAATGTTATTCACCATGTTCATTCCTAATTGGAAAAAAATATTTTTATACTAAAAAATTCCCTGACTTAAAAAATTTTTCCTTGACTCTTCCTACTTTCCAAGGTACGGTCGCCACCCTCCAGACGTAAATAAAATATCCATTATAAAAAGGTCCTCTTGGAGCATGGACATAAAAATGTAAATATCATGTTGACTCACTAGTACTAAGATACTAGATTAAAACTTCATTTAATTCCAGTCAGTCACTGGAAGTAATTAAGCCTGATAAGATCTATTTACCTCTGGAATATTGGCAATGCCAAAGTACTAAATGCTTAAATGAGTTTTATTACAAAGCAAAGTTAAAGTTTATAAATTTGTTTATTCAAAATGTTGGCTCGCAACACTCCGCCTCCAATAGTGTGTTGTGGTTAAGCATGGTCCAGCAACTGCAGAAGTAGAAGTCTCCTAGTAATCTATATTCTCTAGTAAGTGAGAAGTTACATCCAGGATTAATGAGTAAAGATAAATTGAAATAAGAACAGCAAGTACGTTTGTAATGCCAATTTAATAGTCCGTGGTATAGATACCTTTTAATCAAATTACTAACATCTGCCTGAAACTTCATAAATAGCTCCGTAACCTATAAATATTGGTTGGCTTGGGATGTTTTCAATTTGGAGATTAGCAAACTTTGTCTATATAATTAGGTACTAAAAACTCATGAATACTCATTTGCTTTCCACTTGCTTGTAAGATTATATGATCATAATTTCAAAAAAAAAGGGAAAAAAAAGGTGACCTACAAAAATATTGAGCTTCTTGGCCTATATATAATATAAAACAACCTTGTTATTTTGACATTTTGGGGGTGGAGGTCACACCAAACAGCCCAATATTTATGTACACCACCTTTTTTTTTTCGATTTTGCGACCATATTATCTTACAATTCAAGTGGAAAGCAAATAGGTATTCTTGAGCTTTTAGTACCTTATTAAATAGACAAAGTTTGCTCACCTGATGATTGAAAACAACTGATTCCGAGAATTTTCACAAATAAATCATTTGTTGGTTATGATGAGATAAAGCTTTTACGAAATTTTAGGCAGATGGTTACTAATTTAAAAAAAAAAAAAAGGGGGGGTCTATCCCACGGAATATAACAATTCTCGAATAAATTTTACTTAAAAACTAAGAAATAAAAAACTGATTAATACCTGAGGAGAAATGTCCACAACTTTAATATCTTGAGAACATTTTATCAGTAACTGTTGGAAGTTATTATATATTTGACGACTGAGTTCCTTACTAGGAGCTAAAATTAGTGCCAGTACTCCAGTTACATTACTATCCTAAAACATAAAATTAATAATGAAAATCGCACAAACTATTCATAGAATTATCAAAAAAAAAGAAGCACTATAATAGGTTTAGGAATAACTAGATGGTTTAACCAAAAACCAGTTATTTTCATTTCAGTGGATTTGTTATCACAATTATAACCTGTTATTTCGTTAAATAGTCCAATAAAAAATAAATTTCCAAAATAATATTACTAATTCAAAATATCTTTCCGATAGACCACCCAATCACCTATTCCAGTTCTTGAAATATCCTAACTAGTAGATCTCTGAATCAGGCTTTATTAATTGTTTTAAATTAAACAATGATTACATTAGTACATGAAATCATTAATTTCCGTTTTATTTTAATATTGTATCCAAATAATTTCAAGTATTATTTAAAAAAAATAAATTCATAGTATACTGTAAAAATTTGTTTGAATTAAATAATGGTTTAACATTGTGTTTTTATATTATAAAATTTACTTTAAAATGTTATATTTTGAGAAATTACATCCGCAGAATGTTACGAAAAGTTCATAAGTCTGATTCATTGAATTTTTTCTGCCTTAAATAAAATTCCCTGATTCCTCCTCACACTCCTAAATAAAGAAGTGGAAAAAAAAAAGTGAACTGTAATTAAAATGTTTTGTCAAAAATTTATTATTAATTATCACAGATATTGAATTGTTAAATATTCAATTAAAACCAAACTTGATAATGTTCCAAACATTAGGATATCAATGTAAAAAAAAATCATTATCCTACAATGTTATGAATCATCCATGGCTTGCAATTTTCCTAGCTTATAGAGAACTTAGTTCTGTGAAATGATTAATGGATTGGTCAGGTCTAATGTACATGATGAGATTTTGGAAACACAAATACCTAAGAAAACTACGTAATTATTATCCTTAATAATTTCCTTTTAATATAATAAAAGTTACAATGAAAATTATGTTAATAATTTCAAAAAGAGCTTTATTTTAGTCAATTTCACTGGTCAATTTTATTTCATGCTTTCTTCGGTAATAAGTGGTTACTTAATATAAATTTATATACCATACAATCCAAGAGAGAAAATTCTTTCTTAATATTTAATTAGAGTGAATATTTGTAATTACTGTATATTATTAATAGTAAACCAAAATCCTTATTTGCGATCTAATGTTACATAATAAATTTGTGATTTGAGTCCTGATAAGAGACACCTGTAAAAACGAAGACATATTTATAAACGATATATATAGTGGAAGATTATAAAACTCGAAAAAAAAAAAAGAGGAATCACTGAAATCAGACTATTATTAATAAAGATACAGCCTATAGTAATGTAGACATGTTTTAGTTAATTATTTTGAATGAACTAATGTGATTAGACAGAGAAAAAATATATACATATTTCTTTTTTATCTCGTAATACATTTGATTGAATCATTTTTATATTATACTGTCAATTGTTAACTGACCAATATTCTATGTGAATTATTAGCATTGGCAAAGTAGTTGCAATTTTATTTTATTATCAGTTCCATGTTCCAAAAATGGCTGATTTGATTTGGTTCAAATCCAGAAGTCTGGAAGTAATAAAGAAATGCTGCTATATCAATTTTAATGAGTTATATATCCTATTTAGCTTAGATAAAAGCAAAAGTATTTTTATTTTTATTTTAGAAAACAGTTTATTTGATTTGGCCTTTAGTTGGAAGAAGTGGAGGAAAGAAGAAATTAGTAAAAATTTAATCCTGTATCAAACTTCGTCTTTAACATTTGCTTACTGATGCACGATGTTGCTTACGGTTGGACCACAATCAGGATCTTCAACCAAAAGAGGTTAAAAACCTAATATATTAGATGCAGAAATAACTATCTATAAGGATTAAGACAAGAAAGCCCAAAATAAGAGTTGTTTAAAATGGGGAGAAGACCTAAGCTACTACCACTAGTCCAGAAAATTTTGGAGGAGGAAAGGATGAAGAAACCAAGCCTTATCCCACAGAACAGCACCTGATAGGCGGGGTGGCCGAATGGGTAAATGCGTGTACACAGCATCGCCATTGCCAGGCAACCTGATATATGAATCAAATGGATATAAAATAGTAGTCACGAGTTCGCATCCCGGTGACGAGGGAGTCTTTTAAATCCCCGCCCACATCCTCTGGCCCTGGAAAACCCCGTTTTAAGACATTACTGGAAACAAAATTTCACAGCTGCTGTAGCAACTCATGAAATTATTAAATATGATGGGGAAGCTGTCCTTGAGTAGCGCACTGCACAGCATTGGTCTGAAAAATTTAGCAGTGGAGATACAACGTTACAAAAGAAAGGGCTCTGGGGACAATTAATGGATATTGATGAGGTTCTGCAGGAAGCTGTTGAGTGAAATCCACAAGTACTTCGCAAACTTGCCAAGGAGTGTGGTGTCTCGAAAGATACTGATAGTCGCCATCTACTCTCCATGGAGAAAGTGAAAAAGAGTAGCAGACTGGTCCCTCATGAACTTACTCCTCAGCAATCAGCTAAGAGGTTAGAAATTTAATGAAAAACCCTTCTGATGAGATTTTACTGGAAGATTGTCATCTGTGATGAAAAGTGGGTTTACTGGCGAAATCCGAATACCTATGAGCAATGGCTAGAATGCGGTTAGACTGCTTTTCAGATTGCTGCAAGGGGCAATTTGAAAAAAAAAAAAAAACTCCAGGCTTTTGAAGGTTTTATTCATCATGAATTTGTTCCTAATGGATGCCCTATGAATTCTGAACTCTATAATTTAAGCTAAGAAACATAAAAATTAGTCCTACTATTCACTTAAAAATTGTTACAAACATTTTACCGAATTGATTATACACATGTTATCCAATTAGGGGTCAGTGGTTTTAGTTCAAATTGTTTCAAAACATTTCAGGGGATCTCATTGAATAATTCAAGATATCCAACTTCAAAATCAATCCAGTTGTTGGCTCAAACAATTGTAAAATAATAAAAAAATTGAAGTAATCTATTATCTTTTTATTTGTTATTTGAGTTTTTCAATAGAAGTTGGAATAATTGCATTTATAATTTAATTTAGCAAGCCTTTTTTAGTTTGTCATCTATCTAGTTTATGTAATTTTTTTGGATTTCTAGTAATAGGAGCATCCACTATTTTCTACTGAAGGTAAATCTGCTCTTGCTACATAACTGAGCATGATTAAGGTTATAGTAGTACTTAAATGGCGGGAAAGTTAATAGTAACTGGCCTAAGAGATCGGTCGCCTTCGTTCTCTTTCGGATAAACCCGAACGCATTCGGGATTCCAGGAACAAGTGTGACCGAAGTGATTGTGAATCATGCGTAATCCGTGCGGAACTCTTGTGAACTAGTACCTTAAAAAGTGTTGAGGATAGCTGTTCACAAATATCAATCGTCAGGATGACACATGATTCACAATAACTTTGATCACACTTTAGCAAAAAATACCAAAAAAAAAAAAATCTTATTTCACTCAAAAGAATATTGAAACAGCTTATCTCCAGAATTCTGATTATCCATTATATTGAATATGAACTAAATTATACTTATATTACCTAAATATTTAGGTTATTATGCATGACATACCTAAATAACACAATAAACAACTTTTATGTTTCAACCCGGAGTTTATGATGATCTAATTAAGAGTGCTTTTTATGATTTACATGCAAATTAACTACGAAAAACAATGACTACAAAGCCAGATATTCAAATAAATAAAATCTGATGAAATGGAAGGAAAAAAAACAAACAATAAAAACAGTGAAGTCTGACTTAATAATTTAACAAGAGAAATAAACAAACGAAATAATCAAAGTAAAGTAACAAACAAATTCTATGTTTATTTTAAGTACAAGTGTAAACAAAGTAGCTTAATAAATATCAGTTCCAGAATACTGAAAATATGTATATTAAACATTTACCAGAGAAAAAGGAAGGATGTTATGGTTTAGTTATGCTTAACATGAAACAATGAATGAATTGCTATAAGGTTATATTTCTGGGACATGTCAACACCATATAAAGACACTTCATATATAAGAGTGATCAAAGTGATAAAAGTCCACATTATTAGGACAAAGTGCTAGATAACAGTTACGGATAAGGTGTTAACTTTTATCTAGGACACAAGCAGGTTGTTTCCGGATTCCATCTAAAGAGATCATGAGCCACCAATTAATCTGTGACAAATGTAAACCAGAACAAAAATTGAACAATAAAATCACATAACACTGCACTTTTAAGTTTTTAATTGTGAATTGTTTAAATTTCAACCCAAAACCTAATAAACTGCGGGAGTGAAATATTAAACATTAATAAAGGAATTTATACCAAGATTCCATAAATGATTAAAAAATTGTATCCAGAACAATTACTATATATTCCTAAAAAGGAGAATTAGATACAAAGGCCATATAAAATAAAGCAGCACATCATGCAGTAACAAGTAGCTAAAGAATAGAAATAAACCATAAATTTGGCAATGAAATAGGTAAGATAACGGATTTAATAACAATATATGAACCAAAATGATCTTTACAATACCTGTTTAACAGAAAGTATCTTTTGGATTATAGGGACTGCAAATGCACCTGTTTTCCCTGATCCTGTTCTAGCTTTAACAAGTACATCTTTCCCTTCTAAAATTAATGGAATTGCTTTTTCTTGAATAGCAGTAGGCTCAATCCATCCAAGTTTTGCGATTGCCTATAAACAAGTGTCAATCAAGACCTTAAAGTAATTTGATGGTAAAAGACAAAACATAAATTAACTTACTTTGAGTATTCGATCATCTAGTCCCATTTCATGAAAATGCTTTACAGCATCATCAGAAGTTTTATCCGCCATTCTACTGTAAATGTATCAACTATATCGTTGATACGTTGACCAACAACACGACTGAAAAGACAAAACTTAAGACACGTGGTAAGTAACCTAAGAAATGGCGGAAGAAGAAAGGGTTGGTTGCTAACCTGTTGGTTGTCCCGTCCAATACTAGAAATGCCAGTTTCGATACTTCCTAATCGATGTTTTAACGAAAAATTACTTCCTACCGATTATAGAATAGAAGTATCCCAACTCGAATAAAAACAAGAAGTTAACAAATACAGCAAGCTTGACTCCTTCCCTAAGTGGTATAACGTGGCGTATTAGTCTTATATCAACTATACTGGTCACTGACTAAAGTTATTGGCACGGTGTTTATATATATAATAATAATACTTTATTTATGATGGGACGAGTTTCTCTAGAATAACATAGAAAGACAGAAATGCGGGCTAAGAAGCCTCAGATTTAGAGATACATAAACAAAAACACAAAATTGACAGTTAAAATAAAAATTATAAGCTACTTTCTAACTTTAATCAGTTAATAATAAAAAAATTGAATATTTTGAAAGTCCTGGAGATGCCTGGTTTTCGTTTGCCATACATCCTAGCGAAAGAGGTGATGTCTAAGTGAGTTCATTGGTACCGAAAGTGGTTAGAATTCGAGGATAGTTATAAAAATAATCTCAATATTGCAAATCAATATCGCTGATCTGCGCGGAAAATCGACTGTTAGACATAGAGTAGCTGGAAGATTAGACACAACACAGAGCTTTATAATCTATTCAAGGAGCCAAATGTCATAAGAATAATAAAGCTTGCAAGACTGCGTTGGGCAGGGCATGTGTCGAGGATGCAACATGATGAAATCCCAAAAACAACTATGGAGAGCAGTGAACAAGGCTCTAGGAAAGTAGGAAGACCACGGCTGCGATGGCAGGATTGTGTGGCAAGGGATGCACGTGTACTACTTGGTGTACGTAACTGGAAAGCGGCTGCGCAAGATAGACACCTCTTGAGGAGGCCAAGACTCTTCATGAGTTGTGGTGCCGTGGAAGAAGAAGAAGAAGAAGAAGACATAGAGTAGAGAACTTAGAAAAATAAAATAGCCTTCAAAGATGTCTTCATTCGAGTTTTTCTATTTATGCAGGATTATGTTGAGTGGGCAATGTTACATCCTATCTTAATGATAGTTTTGAAATTGTGAATATAGGGTCAAATTTTCGATGCAGGACTGAATTGCTAGATTTAAGCGTAAAACTATGGATGGTTGAAAACAACGATAACTGTCCGGTACGTAACTTTCAAGAAAAAGAGGACATCATTCACTTTTTGGGGACTTGTCCCATGTACAGTGAGATAAGAGAGAAATATTTTGGGCAACAGACGTGTTCTCTATAAGAATTATTTAGCTTATCAATGGGTTATAACGAGAAAGCCTTAAGGAATTATGTACAGCAGGCCACATTATTACAAAGACCTCATTGGTCAATTAGTAAAGTATTGGTAAAATATCGTGGTTATTTATTGTAACGTTTGTTTTATGTTGTATTGTATTTGATTGTTATTATCATTATTGTTGAAATTAAATGTCTTATTTATTGGATTTAGAAGGTATTAGCTGATGTGCCCATCGTTGGTGGGTGTATATTTAAAATTGGAAAATCTTTTTTTGATGGATATTATATTATGGAGAGATCCAAATTTTATTTCATAATATTGGGTGGGGAAAGGGGGGAATTTTAATTTTGAGGAGTTTAAAAATGTATACATATTATATTATATTAATATTTATTATCATCATTAACCGAGATCTCTAGTTAAATTACTCAAGAATTCTTAACTTTGGTTCCATTCAATATTTTGTTTTCATTTAAAGCCTATGTTTTAAGTCAAGCAAACCTTAATGTCATGTCAAAAGTCTACAATAAGCCATTGCTGAGCTCACCCCTGACAAAATTTCATTGCAATGCGGACATACAGACAGACAAAAATTTATTAAAAAGTGGATTTGGTATCTGCAATGTATGAAACGGTAGGATATCATAAAACGAGTTGATTCTATTCAATGTACAGACAAAAACTTTATTTTATTTATATAGATTAATTTTTGTTTTTTTAAAACGTTATTTAAACAAATGAAACAGTGAAGGAAGAAATTGCTAAAATGGATGTATAAATATATAATAATACTGTAGAGGTATTATTATTCATTTATTTTAGTTATAAATGTAATGAATATTTATTAATTACACACATACCTCAAAAGACGGAATTTCCCATTTTCTATGTGATTTTATATTAGTGCTTGTATATATAGTATTTATTAAAAGTATAATAAACACGTTTTCAATCATTCATTCCATAAAAAATTGGAAAAAAAACATTAACTTACATTTTTATGGGGACTGGATGGATAAGAAATGATTGAATAGGCGAGATTTAAAAGTATAGAGGGAATTGGATTGACGGATGTAGTAAAGGATGGAGTTCCATAGGGATGCGGATCGCATAATGAACGATCTATCGAAAGCAGCGGTTCAGTGGGCCTTTCTATATAAATCTGTAGATCGGGAACGAACAGAGGATTTGAATAGAAGGAGCTCAGAGATGTATAAAGAACGGTGGGATTGGATGACTTGAAAGAGGAGCAAGAGGAAGCATACCAGGAAACATTTACGACGGTAGGAAGGATAAAACCCCTTCAACTCTGCATAAAAACGGGAAACAGAGGCCTCCCGAAGATGGATTGTATATAGCAATTCATCAAAGGTTTTAGTTTTGTCCCGTGATGCCCAGATACGCCCCCATATACCATACTGAGATAGTAAAACTGGGATAATATTAAGGTAATGACTAAAACCCTACAGGTTTCAATATAAAATAGGTGATGGATGTACTTTAGACGTTTTAAGGTGGAAAAGATACGGCGGGAGATATTGGATACCTGGTTTTTCCAGGAAAGCGTTCGAAGAAAGGTTATTCCAAGGTTTTTGATGGAGGGTTGAATTTGATGGAATTATCATGTAGGAACAGTTTTAAGGTGATCATTGGAGCTTATTAAGATTGCCTTCCTCTTCTCCTCATCCAACTTCAACCTCTTAGCTCTCGCCCAGTCACAAATTCTATCCAAGCCTTCTTGAAGTTTTTCTGTGGCTGATAATAGGTCAGAAGGCAGGATGGGTCCAAATATAAGGAAGTTATATTTGGAAATCCTCTGCATAGATGTGGTATTGGGAGTGATGGATCAGAAGGGGGAGGTCATTAATGTAAATAGCAAAACAGAGTAAAAGATACAGAGGAATATGGAGGGACACCACAGGAGAGAGAGAGGGTTATAGATGGGGGTTGACCTGGGAGGACTCCATACTGGGACAGATATGAGAGGAAGGATTTGAACCAACTCTGGACACTGCTGGATAGAGAAAGATTATGCATATTTTTTAACAACTTTAAATATACATCTAAAAAATAAATGAACCCTCAATTCATCCTCATCAACGATTTTATTTATTTTTTTTACATGGAGCAGATATATTTGTCTATAATTTCCTACTGTATGAGATCTGGACCATTCCTGGATTCCAAGAAATTTCTTTCCTACTCTGATACATTTTTCAATAATAATTTACATGGTTTTATTTTTCGAACTTCATGGAAGGTGCAGCATAATCCCCTTAAGACAAAGCCTGAAGGGAAGGAATACTTTTCACCAGGTATGCAATGAGTTTTACATTTACTATTGGAACATTTATCATTATTACTGGTTGTTCCCACCACCATTCATATATATGAGGTAATAAATTTTAAATTATCTAGCAGAACCATAATATCAATATCCTCAGATTTTATAAGCCTCCTTAATCCAAGAGATAAAAAAATATTATATTACAGCATTGATCAGGGCCAAGGTTCCACACAACTACCAGGTTCCCAGAATCAGAAATGTATGGTAGAGGGACCTGAATCTGAGGTAAAGAATAGACCTCCAAACCTACATATTGCTCTTTCAAGCCTATCAATGAAGGTTTATTACAATATTATTCTTTGTTTTTTTCTTGTTTAATTTATTGAAGAGAATATGTTTGATCGAAGATAATTTCAATTGGGTAAATAAATAAATAAGATAAGCAACCTAGAATAAAATTTTATAAAAAATGCAGACTAGACCTGAAAGGAAAAGAATGAAATTGATAGTGAAATTATTTTTAAATTCTTTGTTTTAATATCACTTACTGTAAACAATATACAAATATATCACATAAATAGAAAACACGAAGATTTATATTTATATAGAAAAACAAAACAACATTGTAGCACAGTTTTTGTTTAATTTTAATTGTGAATCTCAGTAATATTTTTTTTAATTTAACATAAAAAAAAATTTTGACTGTATATCCTTATATTTTTCTTCATCCTTATAATTTTAACAGCCAATTACTTACCCATCTCTATAATAATACTATGTCTGTCTTTTTTTTTTTTAAGATGTTACAGAGTTGTTATTAATATTTCCTGCATTTTTCATAACATAACCATTAATGGAATCTTACAGAATGTTACCAGGTACTAGGTGTGCAGTTGCACCTTGCAACAATAATGTAATTTGAAAAATATTAAAAGCTCATTACTGTAAAAAAAAATCTGATTAATTTCCTAAAAAAGAAAATGAAGAAGAGCTAGTTAACATTTTCTTTCAATGTGTATTTATAAAATTTTAATAAGAATATTACATCAACCAAGAGAACCTAAGAGCAAAAACAAAAAACCTAAGGAGAAAATACTTTTTTAATTTTGGATTAAATATATTTATTTTTTTATAGTTCTATTATTTAAGATTGTTTTGGAGGTGTTGTGATCTCGTTATCGTCGTGCCCCTGGATAACCAACCAAACGATCACATAGTCGCCAGACGCCCAGTTTTACCAAAAGCGACTCATGGCGCGGCCAGCAATAAGCCAGGCCAACGCAAACGGCCTTTCTCAAGGCCATGACAACTTTACGTTAAAGGCTCTTTTTTGGAATGCAGGTGGTCTCACCAGTGAAAAGTACACCGAGTTGAAGCATTTTGTAATTTCAAACTTTGATTTATTTTGCATTGTTGAGGCAGGCGCTGCTGCTGAAAATCTGGAATACTATAGGTTCCCAAATTTCCAG